TATATTATAAATTAATAAAGTATTTATTTTTAAATATACTAACTTCAATTGGGAATGTCTATGAAGTACCCAGCACATAAGTTGAGTTAACTGCTCTTGAAAATTTTCCGTCTCCTTTTCTGTTGCGCTCTGTGAGACATGACTACCGCTACGTGCCACATCCTTCAATATCTGCTGATAAATCTCATTTGGTATATAAGTATGTACAGTTTCTAGTCCGTTAATGGATGTAGGTTCCAATTGTGCCAGGCGCAAAAGTTTCGGCCACAGTACCCTTCGTACATCATCTACAGATCATCCTCATGATTTCAAGACTTAGTCATAGAGAATAAAATTATTCTCAAAAAGGAACCATTTTAAGTACATAAGCGATATTAGCAAACTAGCACTTAGGATATCATCTGTATCCAAAAACTACAACAATAATCATGTAGAAGAATCAAAAACCGAAAAATTCTCTTTCAATAAAAGAACGAAATTATCAGTTTATTAAGGTTCCTTGTTGATCATAATTGACATCACCTGGGCAAAGTACCATTAACGAAGCCCTCGCTACTACAACCAAGTAGTCTTAGCTCTCCTAACGTGAGATCCGGATTGGCGATGCTGCCACGGATCACGCTTATCTTCATCCTCTCGCGGCTCGTGAGGATGTCCGTCACACCGTGGTCGTCCTCATGTGTCAGCACACCATTCCACTGTTTGCCTGCTATGGCCACGTCGGTGAGATCTGGTATCTGCGGCGTGACGCCGTTATGCCACGCTTTCGTGGAGTCGGACAGAATCACGAGGGGCACGCGGTCGTGCAAGTCAGTTGTCGTCCAGCTGTCTGTTTTTGTTGAGAGATTCACCGACGACGCTGACTCAGGCACGTTCCTTTTGCGTATTTTGTTGTGGTTATGATTCTCGATTGATGTTGACGCTTCCGTCAAAGACTGCATCAGGGACACCTCTTCGTTCTCGGCCTCCATAATTTCGCAGTATCGAGAATTTATGTCAGACTCGCTAGTACGCGTGTCATAACACTGATAATTTAATTGGAACTCCCGAAAATTCTTCCAATTAACGGATCGCAGCTGATCCGTCAGGAATGATAGCAAATGGCACACTAGAGACATCAGTTAGATGAATTGGTTGCTGTCAAGCTCCGTAATTCGTATGTATGTACAGCTATATATAGTTAGAGTTACTGCATACCGATAAAGCAATATTAAAAATAATCAACAATTTAATTTATGGAAATTCCAAAATTTGAACTATGATTAATTAATAATTTAATTTTACGATTTATTATATCATACTTTATGTTATTAATTGTGTTTGATCATTATTTATGCATAATAATTATTAAAAAACAATTCAATTCATATGCTAATCCTATAAATATATATAAATGTTTATTCATGAAGCATGTATAATAATATATTAATAAATCATTTAATTTAATCTTTATTATATTACAAATTGACCAAATATTTTTATATTGATAATATTGAATTCTTCAATTATCTCTAGACTTATCGAATTGTGATTTAAAATGCTAAAAATAAATGCAATAAGATCATGTATTTTTGTTTAATCTTCAACGTTTCAGAAAGTATATCACAAATTGTCCATTTCTTATAGATTAAATTCTAATTTTTAGAATTAAAAAAAGATAAAAAATAAGTTAAATCAAAATTAAATAAGTTATATTCTATACATATATTGATAGAAATTTCTGATACCTACAACTGATTTCACTGATAAATTTTTGATAAAGTTTGCAGCAAATCGCCTGCAGAGAGCAAGACTTATGCCTCGATCGATATGACGAGGAATGACGATGAAGGACACGTCACCACACGTTTCCACACTGACGCTTTTTACGCATGCGTATCATTTGTTTTTGACTGTTCCGACATCTCCGTCGTCCATCAAGTGACAATCCTCGTGAACAATTGTCCGCCGGTTATATCGTCTAGCTGTTACTGAAAATGTCAGGAAAGTCTAAAGCATTTACCAAAGAGGAGGAGCTACTATTGCAAGACTTCTCCAGAAATGTATCGACAAAATCTTCGGCGTTGTTCTATGGCAATGCTTTCATCGTTTCGGCGATACCCATTTGTGAGTGTAGAAATTTGTGAAGAACATTGAAAAATACTCCTTTCATCATTTTTATCTATTACATTATGCAATTAGATTCCTGCTGTAAAATTTTATATTTTCTGATTTATTATCTGATTTAAGATATAGT